ATATCATTTGTGGGAAAATTCTACTTCTACCAGTCCTTCATCACCTTAAACGAAATTGGGTGAATACACTGGTAGTCACGAAAAACAATACTTAATTCTAAAAATAAAAAGCAAAATTATATTTAATGTTACAATAAACTGTATTACTCATTTTTTCGTTCATAATCTGGTTGTCGAGTCTACTGGTAGATTATATTTATGAGATGTAAGATCCGCTTATCAACAAAAAACTAAGGAATGTAGTCGATTATATGAGTTGTATGCAGCCTATTTTGTTTAAAGTGATGAAGGACTGGGAGTAGAATCTTCCCATATTGATATGAGTGGAGCTGACGTTTCCATTCAATTTCACATAGCGTTGCTTCGCCAAAAGTTGTTCCCATCCCGGCTGAAGTGGATTGCAGTTTCGACCTCGCGTAGGTCTTATCAACACCCCAAACGAGGGTCGAACTGTGACAGTGCAGCATGTGAGCTTGACACGTTATCCACTCCGCCGTATTGCCACGATTGCCCTTAGTCAAAGGGCAGATGTGAATTTCAAGGAAGGTCAGGTATTTTTCACATCACCTTCTGTGTTGGGATTGTCACAACAACAAACTTATATTTGCTATTACAATCGACGACATTACTTTTTCCGTAAATGAGTAGGCTTTGGAGCCTACCTGTAAATCACATATTTCAAGGCATGCCTATGTGAAATTTAATGTCCTTCATCACCTCAAACGAACTATGGCGAATACAACTCATAGATCTGATTCATTGGTAGTCCCGCAAACTTACTTACACAAAAATGAAGTCGATTGCCATAAAAAATACAACTTTGCTTCATCGTCAATCCCACCACAGAATGTGATATGGGAAAATGCCTGATCTTCCTTGAAGTTCATATCTGCCCTCCGACCCAAGGGCACTCGTGCGTATGTCGCGTAGTGGTTAACATGCTGAGATGATACTCTGCTCTGTCATGGCTCGAGTCCTGCCGGAGAAGTTGACGAGACCAGTTTGGGCGAGGTTGAAACTGCCTGTATGAAAATGGCTTTTGGGAAAGCAAGGCGGAGCGAAATGTAATCCTATCGCATAGTCTGCTGATATCATTTTGTGAAAATTCAACTATCAGTCATCTTGACCGAAATAGCCTGAATACATTTCATTACTTTGCTCCAAGCCGCCAGGTCACTATTCAGTTGTTACGCGCAACAATTGCCTTGATCACTTGTCTTCTTGTTGCCGGAGTTCTTGTCGAATTGAACCACCATTCGTCACTCATCCTATGGGGCATGGTGCCCGTGAAGTTGGCCTACAAACTGTTGCCTATTTCAGACATTCCAAACTGGCTCTACAATTTCCTCCGGCGCCTCTTCGATTTCTTCTGCCACTTTTCAAGCTCTTCCGCTCCTCCTCTCTCATCTGGTCTCTCGGCTGCCATATCCTTCCCAGCTAGAAGTGGCAACATCACGTACTTCTAGAGACGGAAACAAACCGGACATTTGTCGCCCCGGGGGAAGATTGTTGACTGGACAAGACTTGCCAGTATGGGCACGTTGCTGCCACTTTCTGCTCGGCCCGAAGAAGAGTGAGAAGCAGTCAGGAGTCATTCTGGAAGAGGAGAGAATGGCCGGCAGAAGCTGAGTAAGGCTCTAGAAGAGGTGAAGGAGAAGAATTTTGCCCGGGAGGTTTAAAAGTGAAAATCTCAAAAAGCTAGATAAACAGATAGATAGGCTTATATCTTGTTTTGAGCAGTTTCTCGAGAATACATAGCTCATAGATAGATAGACTGTCAAATATGGACATACTTGGATGGCTGGATAGTCAGATGAAGACATTAATAGACATATACGTGCATACATTTGTGTATAACTCGATAAATATGTGTGGGCAGATAAGTGGATAAATAAATGGATAGTAAATATGTAGTCTGGAATGCTGGAAACCTAAATAGATAGAGGGATTGATAAATTTTTGGCTGAGTGAATAGACAAATATATACATATATAATAGGCCAACAGGCGGACAATTTGATTGATAGATGGATAAAGCATCCATCTATAGATTGGCAAATGAGTAGATGGCTTGATAGACGAATAGATGGAAATATGAAAGTTTGCTTCCACCATTTGTGGCGTAATAACTTGCTGGAATCACACTCATTTGGCCGGCCATGCCGAGTCGTCTGTTGGCTGGACAACTCTGTCCGGCAGTCGTCACAACGATTGGACTGGAGCTGACTGATTGATTGGCCCTTCGGCCGGTCTGGCAGTGGCGTCCTGTCTGAAGTCGGGACTGGCGAGCCTGGAAATTGGTACCTGGTGGGGAGGGTCAGGCTGTGACGGGAGGCAAAAGCAGAAGACCTGCTTGGTTGGCGGAGCTACTTGATTGTGACGACGCTAATCCGGTCGTCGGGATTAGCAGGTTAATAGCACTGCAAATGGGAATTTTTCCTGAAAGTGACGAGACTACTCGATACTACTCTCTGTCCGTGGGTAAGGGCACCAATCGTAAATGTGCTGTGGACGAACAATGGCTCACTCGTCTGGAAGCCGTTGTCACCTCAGAGCTGCACTGATGCCTCTCCGAACCGGGCATCAATCGACTTCGTCGTCACCGTCGGCGGGGTTCAAGCCTGGCAAATGGGGAGCCGGAGACGAGCAGAATGGCACCAGATGACACCGTCGTGCTGCTCGTGACCCTCATCATTGAATGACCCAAGTCCGAGTCCCAGTGGTGCAATAGTGAGGGCCTGGAGACAGCTAGACTCCAGTCGCATTAGATAACAAGGGAGTCGAGTAGTATTACACATCAATTTACGTGTATCCAATTATGTGATTGTTTGCTTACAAATTGTATTTCTTGTAAATTATGATCTCATCATGCTAATGTCATGAAATCATCTCACCCCAAACCCGAATAGATTATACAAAAACCGAGGTTTTTGGACTTTCTTGGGTTGCGGTTTTTAAGTTGGACTAAGGACCCTGAATAAACACTAACGTCGAGATGTAAGAGTTGCCCGTCAGCAATGCGTTAGGAATGGAGAACAGAACAAGTGAAAAATTGAAGCACTCCTCCAATACGATGCTAAGCCTCCCAATGTGTATCGTTTGCCAGAAATTCACAAAGGAGTATCATTAAGATCATTGCTACTAATAAGTTTGTGTGAAGCATAAAGCATCATAATTTATTTGGGGTCACTCGAAACAAATCTCACGCTGTTGGCATTTTTAATGTGGAATTCATATGACTTAATTAAGTGGATAAATGGGCAAATCGTAGAATAGGAATATTTGGTTGAAAGTTTTGAAGTAGCATCGATGTACAGATGGTCTTTGATGGTTCATTAAGTCTCTTGTGAGGCAATACGAGCAAGCGATCTGTAAAGCGTTCTCAGCTAAAGATGAATCACGACTGTCCATGACACTCCGTGAACATTTGTGCAAATCTTCACTCTTGATTCGGGATTGGGGAACAGTATAGTCCTAATTCGGTTGACCTTAGTGGATCTCCACCTTTCAATGGCTCCCTAAATCACCCTAAATCACGCCAATTTAGGGTTGTGTGATGCAGGAAGCATCATAATTTATTTGGGGTCACTCGAAACAAATCGCACATTGTTGGAATTTTAAATATGGAATTTATATAACTTTATTAAGTGGGAAAATTGTAGAATAGGAATATTTGGTTGAAAGTTTTGATGTAGCATCGATCTACATAAAAATACCGGAAAGTATGGCCATGCAGGCTTTAGGATTAATATAGGATCAAGCTCCAGAGATTAGATCGGGAAATAGGAGTCAATCGTGAGATGGACCAACTTGGTAGTGAGTAGTGCATATTTTACATTTAATGGTAAATTGGATGAACATACACGACACTCGACTATAGGATCGTGTTTGTCTCCAGTTGCAGTGAATGACTACATGGCTCACTCATAGGTCCGGCTTTGCCAAAGAGCCCTCTTCGTTTCGAAACGATTAATCAGATACGTGGACGATTACTTTGCCATCTGGCAGCATGACGAAGAGAGTCTGGAAGACTTGCTTAGCATAACGAATGGACTAGAGAGTACGAATTACTTCACGATGGTTGCTAAAGAAGAGAACAAACTGGGTGTGGAGGAGGATATGAAACCCACAAATGCGAGTTTCCTTCTTAATTCCTTCCCAAAGCATATTTATGGAGTCAATGTTGGAGTTATGAAATGAATTATATTAGAGAATTTGCATCTAGTGGAGGTAAGTCACCAGGATTAAGGTTTGGAAAGTATAAGAAAAATCTTAGTTGAATACAATTATCAGTTATTATTAAATGGCATCAATATTGGCCTACTAAGAAATGTGCCAAAATGAAACCACTATTAAGGGCAAAACAGGGAATTGTATAACCCTTCATTCTGATTCTTGATGATACCGTCCTGCCGGCCTTTGAATACGATGAAATTGTAGGACAATGATTATAAAAATATTAACGCTTTTCTCGGTCATGTCCTCTTATATATTATCTTTAGATCAGGCTGTTATAAGGTTTTGTGCTAGTGTGGTAGTGTCTCTGTGGGTGAGGGAGTCTACCAAAACTGAAGGGCTTGTCAAAATACAAAACCACTTGCAAAGGTTTATGGATTGAGCAATTGGAGGTGAATACAGGACACCAAATGAAGTGGTCTGAAACACAAAGTTTTGCTGGATATGGGGACTTCACTGCAAATCGGAAGATCAGAATGTTGATCAGTATCAAAAAAAACAAAAATCGTCCTGAATAAGAGGATCTAATTTAGGAAACTGAGCAAGAAATAGAATATATGAAGACTAAGATGTTATGGTCGCAGTCTCCTTCGATTTATAGAAGTGGGTTGACCTCGTTGTCGCAAATTGGTCTTGTTGTCAAGACGACTACGTTTGAGAATGTATCAAGTCCACTGTCTGATGCTGGGAACCATGACAACTACTATGGCAGACAACTTCGGACTAGGTGCGTTCTATTAAGTCGGCCTGACAACAAGACCAAGTTGCGACTACGAGGTCAACCCACTTCTAAGTAAGAAATGTTTATGGCTTATGGATAGAATGAGAGACAGAGAGATGGAAAAGATAGCAAACAAGAAGAGCCAACTTACTCATGCGTATTATATACGCACAGTTCACACGCATTCATGAATCTAAAAA